CGGCACCGCCGCGTCGCCGCCGCCGCCGTCTGGACGGCAGCGTGGAGTACGGGGCCGTCACCGCGCGTTCGCAGCCTGCCGGCTGCAGCGCCGAGTGCTGGTCGCCGGGCGGCAGCATCACCTTAACGATCCTTCCCTGAGCGTCAGCTGGATGAGAAATGACTGACGGACACCTCAGCCCAGTTTAGACCAGCCGAGGACGGGAGCCACTTGCTGGGGGTACAGAGCTTACTTTTCCCTGCCCTTTTCCCACTCGCAGCCCGGGCAGGAATCTTCGTTGCCTCCGTACCAAAAAGCACCCGCAGCGTTTCCGTCCTTTGCATTTGGCTGCCTTAAAAGTCCGGTGGTGGCTTCTGTCCCTGCCCCACCCCCCATTACCCCGGGAGGAGAACCAGCACAGCGACCTTGTGGAACAGGGCCGGGGGTTGCCCCGGAGCAAGCCCCGGGGACTGCTGTGCCAGTCTGCACGTGGCATCAAGGTTGCGGCAGCGGCAGCAGCAAGTCAACACGTGGCGGCGAGAGATTTTTAAAAAACGAGGCAACACGGGTGGCATCCTGAAGGCGGGCCAGAAGAGAGCAGAAGCTGCTTTGTGCCAGAGGGGCAGCTCTGTTTAGCAGGAAACAGCAGGTCCAAGCAGACCAGATGCAAGCGGCTGATCTGCAAGTGAGCAATACGCTGGCGATCCTTGGGCTTTGTCGTGCCGTTTGCACCTTTCCTCGCCCCTGTGCTATCAGCACTCTGCTCCCCTAACCCTGCATACACACAAGGCTTCCTCTGCAGGCCTTGTCACTTAGGTAAGAGACACTGCGCAGTGTTACTTACCACCCTGCCCTCCAGCGTGCAAAGTAATTAGACGTGAAGCAGGGAAAGCAAAGAGGCATGTTGGTGTATTAGATGTCCTTAGCAGATGACTGTAGAGCCCTGGAGGTTCCATCTTTGCTCTGTACAGCAGCACAGCTCTGCAGCTCTGTACAGCAGCACAGCTCTGCACTCCTTGCCACTTCTGCCAGCAAGCGTCACAGTTGCACTTTGCTGCCTGCAACATGCAATACTTAGTAGGCTGGATGGGCTGTTCTGCCAATGTGTCGGGTAAGCAGCTCAGTTCCTTTGGCTGAAATAGTTCAGCTCCTTAAAAAAAAAACACTTCAACACTCAGCTTCTTTAATTCAGACGCCTCTAAATATCATCTGGCCTGCAAGCCATTTTCAGCTAGCAACACGGCTGAAATACAGTGCTGGTAGAAATCTAGCTGTCATCTTGCTTTGATGGCAAAAGGCTTTTGTAACTTGAAGCCCCGATTGTTTTGGCACCAAGACTGCAAGTCAAGAAACATGCCTCTACTTGAACAAGCAAGACAGTTGCCAAACAGCTGTGCACAGTGATACATGGCTGCCTGTGACCGACACCTTTTTCTGCTAAAACCAGAGCACGGTTCCCTTGTGAAGAGCCATGGGCAGTGCAGAAAGTACCTCAGCTTTCCCTGCACCGGGTCCCCAGAAAACAGCATCTTAGTCTGACTGGAGTGTGCAGCAGCCTGTTTTCATCCCAGCCCCTTGCCCTTGAGAAAGTGACAGCCTGTAGCAGTGGCAGAACCGCTGCTGCCCAAAGAGAAAGGAATGACTCGGTGTAAAGCTCTCCAGGGTGCCTGTGTCTCATGCAGAGTTGATGACCTCAGCAGCCTGTACATGGGGCCAAGCGAACAACCTGAGAAGGAGGCACAGGGGGTAGCACTTTCTGCAACAACTGTACTTTCCAGCCTAGCTGGACAGAGTAAGAGGCAAGAGAAAGGGGCCTGCTGGGTCCCTCGAGAGGCAGAATCGCAGTAGATGATTGTGCCGTGGCTGTTTTGCTCTCTGCCTCTGGCAGAGTGATTTCCCAGTGGCTGGGAGACAGGAATGCTTGCACAGCCTGACTACTGCTGCTTATGGAACAAAAGCAACTCACTGTAAAGCAGCAATGAAGAACAAGGATGGCCCGTCAAGATGGCAAGAATAACATGGAGAGCCTCAAGCGTTAGCCAGGCAGGGCTTGCAACTAACCTTGTGTCGTGGTTTAAACCCAGCTGACAACAAAGCCGTACATAACTGCTGGGATGGGGGAGAGAATCAGAAGGACAAAAGTGAGAAAACCCTGCCAACATCCCCTTTAATTTTACTGCTGAGCATGATGTCATATGGTCTGGAATGTCCCTTGGGTCGGTTGGGGTCAGCCGTCCCGGCTGCGTCCCCCCCAACTTTCTGTGCAGCCCCAGCCTGCTCGCTGGTGGGGTGGGGTGCAGGGAAGTGTCTGTGTGGAGGGGACTCTGGGTGGGTGCAGACAGTGCCCTGGGGGTCTGGAGGCAGAGGGATTATGGGGGCGGTGGTATGGAATATGGAGGGGGGCACAAGATAGAAAGGCAGAAGATGTGGGGGTGTGTCACAGAAAAAAAGGAAAAACCCGCATGGGGGAAAAACCTGCTTGAAAAGCATTTGGGGCAGAGAAACATGGAGGGGGAGACAGACGGGCTGCAGGGGACAGAGACAGACGTGGACCAATATGTGAACAGAGGTGGGGGTAGACAGACACAGACCGACATACGAACAGGGGTGGAATGATGTATTGGGTTTGCGTGGCAAGGTTTTGGGCGTAGGGGGAGGCAACAGGGGTGGCTTCTGTAAGAAGCTGCTAGAAGCTTCCCCTAAGTCCAATACAGCCAATGCCAGCTGGCTCCAAGACGGACCCACTGCTGGCCAAGGCCAAGCCCTGGGATAAGATATTTGAGGTGGAAAAAAAGTTGCTGGGACACAGAAACTGGAGCCGGAGAAAAGAGTGAGAACATGTGAAAGAAACAGCCCTGCAGACACCCAAGTCAGTGAAGAAGGAGGGGGAGGAGATGCTCCAGGCACCAGAGCAGAGATTCCCCTGCAGCCCGTGGTGAAGACCACAGTGAGGCAGGCTGTCCCCCTGCAGCCCATGGAGGTCCACGGTGGAGCAGATCTCCACCTGCAGCCCGTGGAGGACCCCACGCCAGAGCAGGTGGGTGCCCAAAGGAGGCTGTGACCCTGTGGGAAGCCCACGCTGGAGCAGGCTCCTGGCAGGACCTGCGGATCTATGGAGAGAAGAGACCATAGAGCAGGTTTTCTGGCAGGACTTGTGACCCCGTGGGGGACCCACGCTGGAGCAGTGTGCTCCTGAAGGACTACATGCTGTGGAAAGGCTCCATGCTGGAACAGTTTGTGAAGAACTGCAGCCTGTGGGAAGGACCCACATTGGAGAAGTTCATGGAGGACTGTCTCCCATGGGAGGGACCCCATGCCAGAGCAGGGGAAGAGTGAGGATCCTCCTCCCCCTGAGGAGGAAGGAGCAGCAGAGACAACATGTGATGACCTGACCCCAAACCCCATTCCCCCTCCCTGTGCACTGCTGGGGCAGAGGGGGTGTAGGTAGAGAATTTGGGAATGAATTTGTGCCCAGGAGGAAGGGAGGGGTGGAGGGAAGGTGTTTTAAGATTTGGTTTTCTTTCTCATTACCCTACTCTGGTTTGATTGGCAATAAATTAAGTTAATCTTCCCCAAGTCGAGTCTGTTTTGCCCGTGACGGTAATTGGTTGAGTGATCTCTCCCTGTCCTTATCTTGACCCATGAGCCTTTTGTTGTATTTTCTCTCCCCTGCCTAGCTGAGGCGGGGAGTGATAGAGCAGCTGTGTGGTGGTTAGTTGCTGGCTGGGGTTAAACCACAACAGACAACACATGGACCAACAGGAGACGGACACAGACGGACAAGGGGGGAGGTATGTGTGGGTAGAATCATGCATGGGAGGACATGCATGGGATTGACCTACACCAGGGGGTCCACCTGGTTAATCCACAGCAGGTAACTCACGTGGGATAACCCACAACAGGTAATCCCCACCGGGTACCCCACAGATGGGGGGGAGCATGCCAGAGGATGGTGCCACATCTCTTGCTCAGGCTCTGCTCTACACTGTTCTCCCCCCATTCCTGTGTTGGGACAGGCTCCCCAGGGCAACAAACGTCCCCAGCCCCTCTTGGCCCCACGCTCTCCCCACCAGACAGCCCTTGCTGCCACACCTGCGGGGCACCCACTGGTGACAGAGCCAGGAGCCTCTAGACACAGGGCTGGCCCCATACCATCACTATGCTTAATGACCGGCAGGCAAGCCTGGGCTAGGGAGGGCATCTCCTGAGCATCACGAGACACTTACAACAACACATCTGAAAAACAAAAAATCCCAAATTGTGTTTCAGCATATTGAAAAAATAGGACAGAAGAAAGTAGGGGAA